TCGCTTATTTACTTTTTCGTTGCTACTGTTACAACTACTACAAAAACCCAAAAACATTTACTTTTACTTTTGCTACCGCTACTATTACTATCATACCACTTTTGCTACTAAACACTTTGCTGCAGATACTAAGTTATCCAGGTGTGGTTGAATTGACAACTCAACTTCTAATACTCAAGAATATTCTTTGGCTCCCCTTGTGTCGAATCAATAAATTTGGGTTGAATACTCTACCCTCGAAAGTTGTTGCGATCCCCTATACTTGTGGGTTATTAGCGCTCACAGGCCGAACCCGGCGCACTGGGGGCGCTTGGGGGCTCCGGCGCAAGCGAAAAGTGTTCCTGGGGCCACATTGACAGGCGAAAAGTCAATCCACCCGCCCAGATTCGCCCTCCTGCCCCCCGCGCTCGGCCGCCGCCCTCTGCCACCTTGCACTGACCACCGCCCGCCGCAGCTAGGTAGACCGTCTCCAGCCTAGAAAAACAAGGAGCGTCGCCGAGGTAGCCTCTTCGCCGCTGCCCCGGCACCTTTTCCGGCGCTCCGGCCGCGTAGGGCCTGTACGCCGACGAGCTTGCGCCCACCTCGCCCACAAGGTGTTCGGTGAATTGCCCGGCCCGACGATGGACTCCGAAGATGAGGAGGCGCTCGTGGCATTGCTGGATGAGGAAGCCGAAGTCGACGTACAGGAACAGGAGCATCTCATGGTGCTCGCCGCCCTCGCCGGCTTGCTCGCGAGCAGTGAGAAGCCGCGCCGAGGTGGCTCGGCGCTTGGGCGGGTCAAAGCAAAGAACTGGCATCGTTTGGGAGGCTACTGCATGCTCGACTCGGACTACTTCGCCGACGATCCATTGCACGGTGAGAAAACATTTCGGCGCCATTATCGGATGAGCCGAAAGCTTTTCCTCCGGATTGTGAATTCCATCCGGGAGTTCGACAGCTACTTCAAGTGCAAGAAGGATTGCACCGGCACACTTGGATTCACCTCGATCCAGAAGTGCACGACAGCTATGAGGATGCTTACATATGGAGCTCCCGGTGATTCACTCGACGACTATGGGCGCATGGCCGAGTCCACCACCATTGAGTGTTTCTACAAGTTCTGCAGGGCAGTGGTGGTAGTGTTTGGACCGCAGTACTTGCGAACACCCAATGCGGAAGACACTGCTCGGATCCTAGCACAAAATGAAGCAAGAGGATTTCCTAGGATGCTTGGAAGCATCGACTGCATGCATTGGAAATGGAAGAACTGTCCATTTGCTTGGCAGGGGTTGTACAAATGCGCCAAAGGCGGTTGCAATGTGGTGCTTGAGGCAGTGGCCACACAGGACCTCTGGATTTGGCACTCTTTCTTTGGGATGCCAGGAACTCACAATGACATCAACGTCCTGCAGTGCTCCCCAGTCTTTGCCAAGCTTGTTGAAGATCATTCTCCTCTGGTGAACTCCGAGATGGTCGACATTTGTGAAGACCATCTCAAACCCTGTGCCAGGAGGCAAGAACGCTTGGTTTGCGAAGATTCAGGAGGCTTGCAGGAAGGATGTCGAGCGGGCATTTGTTGTGCTCCTATCTCGATTTGCTGTTGTCTGGTATCCTGCTCAGACCTGGTCGAAAGATCAAATGTGGGAGATCATGACTTGCTGTGTTATCTTGCACAACATGATCATTGAGAGCGAGCAGGAAGAGCCAGTGTTTGACACTGAACCATATTACTTGCAGGGTCCTCTTGCCCAAGTTGATCACCAGCTACCGGCAAACTGGACTGACTACCTCAATATGCGTCAGGAGATCCGAGACCCACAGGTGCATCCAGAACTGCAACACGATCTGATGGAGCACCTATGGAGGCTCAAGGACGAGGCCGGGAATGGAGATGAAACTTGAGTTTTTATTTGTTAAACGATATAATTTGTAGTGAACTATTTAATTTATGTGATGAAACAAGCCGAAAACACGCCGAACTATGTGAGGAGCTAATTGATTCATATTTGTTTACGAAAATTCACGCTGAAACCCGCCGAACCGCGCCGAATATGGACCGATTCACGCAGTTATCGGGCCGTTTCTAGACATATTTGGGCTGAAAGCTGGGCTGAATCCGGCGCCTGGGGGCAACGGCTGGGTGCCGAACCGCCCCCAGCGCCGATTTTATCACCGGCACACCCCCAGGACGCTCTTTTTCGGCGCCCTGGGGGGCCGAACGGCTGGAGATGCTCTAAGTAGCCGGAGCACGGAGATAGGGAATGGCAGGTCGCGCCGCAGAGCGGACCTCGTCGAGTCTAAAGAGGTAAGAGCAACTCCAATGGGGCGACCCATTTCGTCCGCCTGCGTCCGTTTGGGTCGGCGCGGACAGAAAAGATGGCCCAACGCGCTGACCCAAACGGACGCGCGTCCGCTTTCGTCCGCCTGCCGACCCATTCCCGGCCCATTTTTGAGCCGGATTTGCATCGATGCGGACACAAGACGGACGCGCACGCGCCCTCTCTCCTCCCCGCGCGTGCACAACCTCCACCGCCGGCTTCGTGGCTGATGCCACCGGCCATTTTTTCCGATGAAAAAGGATACATAGATAGTTCTTGCGTACACAGATAAAAGAAAAGATCAACTACTCGTTGCTTTCTGACTCTGACTCGGTAATGTCCTCCTCCGACGTCTGAATATAGGCGTCAGCAGCATGCCCGTCAACGAAGTCCCACCCCGATGTTTCTCGCAACCTCAGTCTCATTTGAGCGGTCAGCTTCCGCGCACGCTTGCCCTCCCGATAGGCGGCTCGCTCGGTCCTCCTGCCTTCCTCTCCGTCCTCCTCTGCTCATAGAACTGACGTTCGTCGACGATGTCCTGCGGGAAGCATTCGCGCCACAGCACCAAGGCTTGCATGTCCATCTCGGCAAGGGCGAGGCGACGCATCTACCTCCGGTGGACGTGACGATCCTCGTCGGTGAAAAGCCACGGGAGAGGCGCCAGATCCTGCGCCCGCTGGCTCGACACGTCAGTAAAATTCATCTCCTGTCTCAGCCGCCGGAGGCGCCACGCCGCCGCGTCGTATGCACGGGCCGCCTGCTCATCGGTGTCGAAGGTGCCGAGGATGAGCCGTTTCTCGCCAAACAAGATCTCGACGAAGAAGGCAACGGAGGGGCGCTCGCGGACTCCACGAAAATCCGAAGCGTCGAGGATGCGCATCGACATGGTGGCGCACAGGCGGCGAGGCTAGTGAGAGGGGGCGAGATGAGTGGGCGGCGGTGGCGGACTGAGTGTGGAGGGAGCACCATCTTTATAACG